CGGCCTCGAAGGAGAGAGAATGAAGCATGTGAGGAAAGGCGTGTTTTACTTCTTATTACGTTTTATCAGACTTTGCATTGAGATCAAATTCATCCTCCAAGTTTTGTTCAGATGAATATGGTCCTCCAGTTTCAATTTTATCTCCACCCACTCTCCTATTCTCTTCAAAAAAATCAACATCGCCTCAACTCTTTTGTGGTTGTTGAACTTTGATGGCGAAAAAGAGAATAATGGAGACATTAGAGCTGAATTGGAATCGAAAAGGTAACAACAGAAGCCAGGAGCAAAGGGAGGAAGGGGAGGAGCCATCGAATGGAGTGAAGGATCTTTTCAGGATTCAATAATATTCACAGAGGTTCCAGAATGGCTTGGGGAATGAGGCGTGTTTGGATTTTGAACATGGATTCAAGTTGTGGTGGTGCGGGCATTGGGTCGATAGTGGTGGCAGTTGCGTGGCGATGGCGGTTGGGCGGGGTGGAGTGGAGTGGTTTTGGTTTTGGGGAAGAAGGAGATGAGGGTAGGTTGTGATTTCGTTTTTTAATTTTTTATTTAATCAGGAGAAATGTGGTTGGTTCAAAAAGTCTCTGCCTTATTTGGAATTGGGGAAAATAATTAAGTTTTTTTTTTTTTTTGGGAGTCAATTGACGGGTTTTGGTGGTCAAATGATGGAAATTGTTGTTTTGAATTTGAGCTGCGAATTTTTTGAAAGTTCGATACTCACGATTACACAAATAAAAGATTTGGGTAAAGTCTGCTACTAAATAAAAAATTTGGTACATTGGCTGCAATTCTCCCTTTTTTAACAATGCAAGTTCTTGAGTGCTGATTGTTCTCAATTTCGGCTTGATTTCTGCTCGTAAAACTCGACTCAAATAATAAGCAAGTCAACATACATCAAACATATTTATTAGAGTACCAAACCAAGATTAAGTGTTTTAAAACTTAGTCGGAGCGAGCGCATATTTTGCCCCTAGCACAATCAGCAGATATAAGGGACGATACATCAACCCATCTTGTGCCTCGTTTGGTGCAAAGCACACCCTATGTAACATCATCCCCACCATAGTGGAGGGGGTGACGATTGCTCATCCAAGATATACAGGCGCCAATCAAAGTATAGGTGACCTCTATAAAGTCTCGAGGGAGAAAGTTAATATTCTACCACAATATCTAAAGATAAGCACTGTATGTAGGGGTGTGCATTTTAACCATAACCGAACCTCCCTTACTGGAATCAAATTGAAATAGGAAGTTCGATTCGATACCAAAAAATAAATTAGGAATTAAAATCTAGAACCGACGAGGTCCATTCTTAGTTCTTAAGTCGGAATCGTGAGTACCCGACCCTAGAACTTAATTTGTCCATTTTGGTAAGTTTTTATTTTATACAATTTATTCAACCTGTCCTAATGGCCTAACTCAATAATAGCAAGTTTGCATCGCCCAACCATTAGTAAGTTTGCAATACCTAAGTAGCAAGTATCCTGATAAATAATATAAAATCATTCATTTGAATAGTTGTCATATTATTTATATTCATAGCCAATCTTGACCACACTTTACATCCCATCCGCCTTACAAATCTTTCTTAAGATGTCACAAATGGAATTAGGCGATATTATGCTAGATATTGGATGTTATTTGATGGCATATTTGCAATGAAAAAAAGTTTTCAATATGTATTTTATGGAAAATATTATGTTTTCTATCTTTACTAGATATTGAGAAAATAATATGGGTAGAACCAAAATTGAACTGAAACCGAAGGTTCGATTTCGAGTTCGAATTTTGTTCCTATGATTACATTAAATTGAATTATTCTATTTACAAAATATCTTGTCTAATGAATGATTTTGGATATTGAAATGCCTTAACCGACCTACTTTGGAGACGTGACAACGATGGTTTTGGCCACTTATCTGGTAACTGCTGATAGATCGGAAACCAGGGAGTTGAGAACTGCTGTCATAAATCCTTCCAAAACTGTCTAAATGTCTTCCTCGCCCAAATTCTATATCTTGGTTTGATCATTGAAGTATAAACAGTTGTTGCACCACCTAGCAATCTTACATTAATAGACAGAGAGGTGACGCTGTCGGTTGACACGAGTTGGCCAACGTTGTCAAACTCAAAGCAAGAGCAATAAAATCACATATTAACATCTACACGCGTATAATTTTGTAAGCTTAAGAGTACAATATTTTTGACCCGTAAGACCAATTAGTCGAACATGAATGAAATCGATAGAATTCTTGTAAAATCCACATTATTAGGTAGGAAAAGCATTCCCTACAATCTTCGAACATTAGTAAATATATTAAGAAGAAGTATCAATTTAAACTAACTCACAAAACTAATATATCCATTGGATTGGTGCCTTGAACAGTACATTGCATAAATAGTAATACCATTTGATGCTTATAAGTTAAAAAGACCTTGACAAACAGAAGGAAAAAGAGAACTTTAGGCACACTTAAAAAAGAAGTGCCAATTTCCAAGACCACACAACATTTACTCCATGGGTTGATTTCCCCAATTGGATTCTCCCACAAGTGATTTTAATAAGCAGAAGCACTACTCCTGAATGATCCTAGAGCTTTAACTGCACCTGCTCTAAGAATGTACTGATGGTAGAATGCAGCAATGGCTGCCCCAATGAAAGGTCCTGCCCAGAAGATCCACTGTCAAAAATGGACCAAAACGGTCAGTCAGCAGCCGTACTCGACAAGGTTTAACTATACAATAAACAAAATTTTAAATAACGTTATTAAACAAGCTATAAGTGTATCAACGGAAAATACGTACTTGATCGTCCCAGGCCTTATCCTTGCCATACATCACTGCAGCTCCCAAACTTCGGGCAGGGTTGATACCGGTGCCGGTGATCGGAATTGTAGCCAAATGAACCATGAACACAGCAAATCCAATAGGCAGTGGTGCCAATACCTTTAGATTAGTTTTCAAATAGGATTAATCAACAGCCAAATTTGATTGAAAAAAATCTTGACTTGCTAAAATTATAAAGTATGTTTGCCTAGATAAAGAATGGAAGTTCGGCTAAAAACTTAATCACGGATATTACCGGAACATGGGAGTCTCTGGCACTTCTTTTAGGGTCCGTGGCCGAGAAAACAGTGTAAACAAGGACAAAAGTGCCGATGATCTCGGCCGCCAATCCGGTGCCTGTGCTATATCCAACTGCAAGTCCATTGGCGCCACCACCGTATCTAACATAGTAAGCCTTCTGGAATAACTTCACCAATCCACACCCACAAATGGCCCCTAAACACTGAGCCACCATGTACATAATTGCCCGAACCAATGAAACCTTTCGGGCTAAAAACAACCCGAAAGTCACTGCCGGGTTAATGTGCCCTCCTGCGACATTAACATCGTAAATATCATCACAAAGAAAGAGGGATCTGTGTTAAAACTTCGTCAATTTTATTATTTGAATCTTATATAAGATATACAACTCACCGGAAATACCAGCAGTGCAGTAAACAAGTACAAAAATCATGCCACCAAAGGCCCAAGCAATCCCCAAAATGCCAACGCCGCCGCACTCATCGGTGGCGCTCTGGCTCTTGTAGCCAATTACAGTCAAAACAGTAATGTATAAGAACAGTAAAGTAGCTACGAATTCAGCAATGATAGCCCTGTAAAATGACCATTTAGTCAGTTCTTCAGGATCAATCAACGGTGCTGGAGGTGGGTCTTGATAGTCTTTTGCTGTAAATTCAGGGTCTCCAACCTCAATATGCTTCGCCATTTCCCTTTTAAGCACTAAAACAGACTGAATTTACAGAGATTGTATGACTAAATTGTGTATTTTTCTGATGGGAAGTTGGGGTATTTATATGGAAAATTTGCCGACCGATTTCAATAATGTTTTTCACATTTTTAGTTCTCGTGATTTGAGTGACCCCATTATTTACTGCATCCGTCACCCTAATTTTCTTCTGGGTCTGTGATGTCTTGTCAAATGAATATTTTGGGAGGACTTTTTTTTGCCACGCGTGCTTCATTTATTCACTCATTCGACAAAAGATTGTGCTTATTGTATTATGCTAAGCACATAACTTGACCAATTGATAAAGATGTCAGTAATTGTTTTTTTTTTTTCCGTCTTTATTCCAAATAAGATTTGAATACATAGAGATCCATCAATATAGGCTACTCAATTTTAAAATTCAAACGTAATTTCCACTCCAAAAAACTTAATGAAATGGTTAATATATTAATTTAGAGATATTAAAAGGTGTAAAGATTCTTGGTCTAGTACGTTATACACACAATCAAGATCTAGGTTAACCCTCAACTGAGTCGTACTATAGGTTGACATACCTCTATAACTACGCTATGTTGACTCAACAGTAGACATTTGCAACTCGTATAGCCCTAAAACTAGATGAAAATTTATGCCCATTAGGGATGCATCCTCAGTTTATGTGGCGTTAATGTGACATTAAATGATAAATAAGTTATTTAATTTCACCTATCATTTAATCAATCATTTACATTTACATAAATTGAATATGCATTCTCACTGAGGATGAATAACATTTTTCATAAAAAAAAGGCATGGCGGCATATCAAATCAGGGTAGTGGCCGACCATCAAATTGTTAATTGTTAGTCCTTGCATTCACTATCATCACCACCGTCCATGGCAATTCCGCCCACAATTTAGGCCACTCATTTCTTGCCACGTTGTACATTTGCCGTACCCCGTCCCCATCCGTGACTCAAATGTTCTATTGGAATTATTGTAACAACTCCTGGTTTTCGTGTTGCCACGTGTCGGGTACAGGACAGTCAAAATAGAATTGTTGAATCTCTTGGTCGGTTGTCAGTATCCACTTTGCACTCCTCACACTTTCAAGAAGACCAACAGTGGAGTGATTGCCAATGGTACTTAGACATATATAACCTATCAACTTTTATTAAAATTTACTAAAAATTTAATTTTAATTCTCATCAAGTACAGACGCACTTCTAATTTGCACCCAAAAAAGCCATGCGCTTAAAGCCATTACATTCTACAAAAATATTTATTGAACAGATTGTATGGCACTTTTCGCGATCAGTAAATTTTGGTGGACGTGATTTATTGAAAAGTGTTGTTTTACGTTAAAAAATAGAAAAAAAAAATTGTGATCACGATAATGTAAATTTTATGTATGGAAGTTAGAACCAGTAGTTGTTATTGAGCTTCCTGGTCGGGTGAAGTCTTTATATGGTGAATTGTGGGAAGGAGCTACGTTATTTGTGAGAGTAGACAAATAACAAATTTGTAATTAAGCAAGGTGGAGCCATAAGATGACCAAAATAAAATAAAATAATAATAATAAATAAATTGCACTGAACTAAGACAATGCATATTAAAATAATAAATGGGCCTGTGATGTAAAACTAATATTTACTGTTACGGGTTAGTAGATGTAAGCGATACGTGGCATCACACTTTGACGGTGGGACCAGCTTGATTA